CTATGCAGCCTAATGGAATGGAGCATCCCAATTCCGGTCCAAGCCCAAACCCTGAACCCCTAAACCCTAAACCCTAAACCCTAAACCCTAAACCTAAACCCTAAACCCTAAACCCTAAACCCTAAACCCTAAACCCTAAAAAAAAACCTCAGATTCTTTGGGTCCTCAGCCCCGAGCACAGCGCCTCGTGCAGGCATCCTTTCTTAAAGCACGCCGATGTAGGGTTTAGGGTTCAGGGTTTAGGGTTTAGGGTTTAGGGTTCAGGGTTTATTTATCTTACATCGTGTTATCCTGTCTTAGCTTGCCTTATCTCATCTTATGTCATATGGGATTATATTGCACTGTGTGGTGTTATAGCATTTTGGTCTTCATATATGCTACCATTACACTATACTATATTGTTATATTGGCTTAGTTTGTATTATGTTATATTATATTGTATTATATCATATTAGACTATGTTGTATATTATTTTACCATGCTAGACTGTAGTGTGCGTTCGTAGTCTTTTCAGTTGTAGTATAGAACACTATGCTATATTATATTATGACATGTTTTTTCATTATGCTATGTAACATATTGTAACATCATCTTATCGTATATTGCATTTCTTATCTTGTATTGTACTGCACTGTAATATATCTGAAATACAGTTGTGTTATCGCTTATACATATGTGTATGTTTATATCCATGCTCATGTTGCTTTCTGTCTGCATATTTATATTACATTGTGTTGTAATTGTATATTCTAACATAGCATAGCATAGTATAGCATAGCATAGTATAGTAGATGATCGGGTTCCACGACCTCGAAGCACAACCGCTTGCCCCCAGATTCTGTCGATAAAAGACTCCCCGATGCCGGCGCACTCCACTGGACAGCAGCAAGCGACCGAGCGGATCATCTTCCAGACGACATCCAGTCCACCTTGGCCCAGCTGTGACGTGTCACGGGCGGGGGCCGTAGCGCATGTGGGACTAATGTATGACTACGCATGAGCAGCCTGCCTTAGCCTGACACTTCCTTACCGGAAATACCCGAAAAAGAACTGCTACGACAGAACCATGTGTAGTTGAAATGGCAAGCCAAAAGCAGTTCCGACAGGTCCACCGAATGTCACCTCACGGCACAACATCTGAGAAACTGCCTCGCCCTCCTGCAGCCCGCCCACAGACAGAGAAGGAGAGCGCGAGCTAGACCAGGTGCGGCTTGCGGCTGGCTTTCCCAGAGACTCCAAAACCCCTTAATTAAGGAATATACCTCAAATCATATTAGGGATCCGATTATAATTTAAGGTATATTCCTTAATTAAGGGGTTTTGGAGTCTCTAGGTTCTTATTTCAGCACGCACCCATGTGCTCTACAACCAGCAAGCGAGGGAACTTCATGAATGGCGCTGGGAGAAGAGACGAGAAGAGCAAAGGAGTTACCAGTGCCACTCTTCACTGAACCGGGGCGGACTTGATGAGTTTTTGGAAAATTGCTCTCCGCAAGCTTCTCGTAACTTAGAAGTGTGTGCCTAGTTCTTGCCATTTCGTATCGTTGTGCGTTCCGCTGCCTGTCCAGACATACGAAACTGTTTCATCTTGGCAACCACGGGTGTGGGTACGAGCTTTTGTGTCCATCCCATCTTGCACGAGTCTAGAAGGAAAGGCTCTTCGGCGTCTACGCCTCCCTCGTCCAAGCCTCCAAGCCTTCTGCCTGTTGTCCCGACTCGGCATCCGCAAAAATGTGGGAAGAGGGGTTTCGGGCTTAGGGTTCAGGTGATCTGCTGTGACTCTTGGCGCCTGCGCTGGATTGGCCTTCCGATGTCTCCCTCGTATGCTTCAGCGAAGGATTTCCAGAAGCTGCAGCGTGGGCGAATGGAGCAGTGCAGACCCAACCCTAAAACCCTAAACCCCAACGGTTGCATCCTGAGTTCTGCACAAGCACGACTAAGAAAAGCCGAGGACGGCACAACATGCGTTCCCTCAACGCCTCCAGCGCGCCGGCCGAGAAGTGCACCGCGTTGCTGGGCGGATTCACACATATCCCATGACTGATAGGTGTCTCTAAAGTGTGCGTGCCTGTGTGCACGCGTGTGTGTGTGTATATATATATATATGTGTGTGTGTGTAACAATGTATATATGTATATGTATATGTCTCCGTACATACAATATGTGTATGTATTTGTTGTTACTAGCTTTATTACTCTTGGCACAATAGGTATGTATGTATGCTTGTTTGCCTGTATGATTGTATGCATGTATGTATGTGTGTATATAAATACACATGGGTAGTTGTCAAAATTATGGTCCCTTTTGGGGTACCCTAAATAATAGGTGCCGTATTATAATAAGGACCCAAAAAGGGACCATAATTTTGACAACCACCCACATGCAAGACTGTCATGTTTGAGAGTCTCAGTCTGAGCGTGGCGAAAGAGTCACAAGGCTTTTAATGCACTTTCAGTCGTCCGGGCAACTGGCTCCGTTGTAGTGGGCTGATGGCTGAGCCCACACTCCTTCAAGGTTCAAGCCATGGACCTACAAATCTAGTATAACATTGCATAATGTAGTAAACTAGTAAGTAGTTGAATAAATATAACCACCGACAGCTATCTTGGCGATGCTTCCCTCCCCAGAAGCCTTTAGCCTACATTGCAGCATGGGGCAACTGGTGTGCCCCAAGAAGGGTGGACGAAAGCTCGCTGCTGCACGGTCAAGACAGACGCCTAGCTTTGATTCGGCCAGCTCGACACATGTGGCAAGGACCTCACGACGGGGTTGAGGCTTGAGGCTTTATGTCGGGCATAGAGAACAAGAGTGTAGGCTGCATGGTCAAGACCTGGACTTCCAGGTCTTGTGATTCATTTTCAAAATCTCTTCTCTGAATTTGAAGGAACGAGCCCTTCAGGCGTTCTAGAACAATGGACCCTCCATCTTCACGGCCCCTTGCCCCCCCTCCCGGTCCACCCCCTAGACCAGCCAGGACGAGCATCATCAGCATCATGGGGGTCCTATTTCTCCAAATAGACCCTTCCCGGACCTTCCCGAACCTTCCCGAAATCCCTAAACCCTAAACCCTAAACCCTAAACCCTAAACCCTAAACCCTAAACCCTAAACCCAAAAAAGGTCCAGCGGGGCCTCCTCCAATCCAGCCAAGGCATGGGGATTCACTGCAGGCGAGTGGTGCACTTCTGGGCCCCTTCCACTCCCCAGGCCCCTGCAGCTCAAGCAGCAAAGCTGGGTATTAAACTCAAGCTTCCCAGAAGGAAGCTTTCGTGAGTACAGGTATAGTATAGTGTAGAAAAATACAGTATAGCATAGTATAGTATAATATAGTATAGTATAGTATATACAGTAGCTTGTACGACAACGGCCTACTTTGCTGCCTGCCAATGGTGGAAGAGCTGACCACGTATGGAGTCGACTCGGGCCTCGCTGGAAGCCGCTTTTTTTGGTGTGAACCGCTTCATGGGGCACGACCGAGATCAGGGTTTAAGGCTTAAGTCTCTAGGGGCCAGGATTTAGGGTTTAGGGTTGAAGGCTTAGGGTTTGGGGCTTAAGGGTTTCGGGCTGGAGATCTAGCAGTCTTTTGGGTTTTGGGTTGAGCAGGCCGTGAGAATCTGCTGAAACATACATCCAGCAGTGTTCAACCTTCAACCCTAAACCCTAAACCCTAAACCCTAAACCCTAACCGAACCGAGGGGGTCTAGTCTGTTGCCTGTGACGGATCCGTGGCACCAAGGATGTCTTCGAACTGCTTCCAGGAGACCTGCTCCAGGGCTATTGATCATGGTTCATGAAAGCCGAGCCACATACATTCCTCTCTCTCTCTCTCTCTCTCTTTCTTTCGCCAGGGCTGTCTCTAAATATATATATATATATGTACACCAGTATACACATACATATATATATATACAGATGTATTTATTTTTCGCTAGTTTGTATATACACACATATATATATATATATACATATGTGTTTTTTATTTGGTTACGAATTTATTTATTGCATAATACATATTTTATATTTAGATATAGATATTACATACATATACATATATATAGATAGACAGATAGATAGATAGATAGATAGATAGATACATAGATAGATAGATAGATAGATAGATAGATAGATAGATAGATGGATAGATGGATGGATAGA